TTAATTATTTCATAGTGTATCGTCTTCTGAATTTTTCTAGATATTTTTTTTTACTACTTACTAATACTTACTTTTTATGTATTTCAATTTATCGGACTAAAACTCGGAGTATATTTCTTATGTGTCACGTTTTTTAATATAAAATTAAAATGATATGTAACTTGTAACAGTTTTTTAGTATTATGCAGATTTATTTTCTATTTTGTACTATTTCATACTTTCTATAAATATTGATTATAATCGCAAAACGTTTCCCACAATAGACGTTCACTTTATGAAAATATGTCTTCTATAAGATGTAGCCAATTTGAATAAGCTTCGATTTTTATAAAAGCTAATTTTAAAAAGAATAAATCTCTTTTTCAAGAAAAGTATTGTAGGTACTGATTGTCTATAATTTCTGTATTTATTGACCCTATAAGTACACGTAGTTTTATATGGAAAATATATTGCTTTTAATGTGTATATAAAATATTTTTCAGGCAATAAAATAAATAAAACATTAACGTATTTAATTCGACTCGTTACCAAAAAAATACAAGGTATAAAATCAATAAACATAATATTTAGGTACTCATTACGAATGTTGTACTTTAACCTGTTATGACATTTCCATTGCTATTATTATCGGAATTTGTCAACGAAATCAATAGAAATAGTCTACATATTTTTTCAGAATTTAGAATAGGACAGACAGTAGTTCCTCACGCAATAAGCGAAATAAACATATATGCATACAGGGTGATTCACAAACGGTGACCAAAAAATTAAACCTCGTATTCTTTGGCGAATTTATTATTATTTATTTAAAACTCACCAAAGAACACGAGGTTTAATTTTTGGTCATCGTTTGTCATCATCCTTATACAGGCTGTTACAAATTCGCTTCTCACTACAGGGATCTCGGAAACGGTAAGTGTTACGAAGTAGTTTAAATGGGGGCAAATTTGCGTAATCAGGGGACCAACATTATGCCTCTAAAAAATCAAGGCTAACATGATTAGTTTTCGAAATAATTGAAAAAAACCGAAATTTTGGAAATCCGTTTTTGTTTAATTTCAGCCTTGTTTGAGGTGATATTGAAAAAGGAACAACACTTAAACATGGCCACTTTTTGCCTTCTGTCGAATAGCATAATCAATTTTGATATGTAACGTTTCGTCTCTCCAGGACCATCATCAACTTCATTTTTTAAATACGACCCTAGAAATTTTATTACATTTTTTGCAAGCCTTCATGGCCCCCAATACTGTATTGCCTCAGCCCGAACCAGATTCAGACGTTTTGTCTCGAAAAATTCATCTTCCAAATTTATCTAAATTTTTTATTTAGATTTCTTTGTTTATTTAATTATCGTACACTGTAAGTGTCGTTAGACCCTGCGACATCCATCTAGTTATTTAAACTATTACCACCACGCGTTACAATAAAACATTTATTATTATTAACTATTACCATCACATGGTCATACATCTATAATAAGTCATAAGTCCATAAGTTGTTGCGTCAAAATTAAAACATTACTACAATTTTAGTTTGATTATGACAAATTAATTCTTAACAATACATATGAACAACCAAAACGCCAACTGAATGAAGATGTACATACCTCTAGGTTTCACAATCAGACTAAACTTTTGTTTGTGCATAGATTTTATCCTACCCATCCTATTCAAAACGGACATTGTTTAACCATTGACAACTACCGTGGAATTCCATTCCTCTATATTGGAAATGAAAAATCTCATAACACATAATATTGCAGTAAGTTTTCTAATGCATTTGTATAGCACAGATCAGCTCAGACTTTTTTCTTCTTCCCGAAAGAGATACATAAAATTATTTAATTTCCATCCAAGTTTCACATATTTGTTATTTTTTTCAATCTGGATTTTCGACAACATTTGAACGGTAAAAATTGCATCTTGATTCGTTCAAAAAAACCGGACGTTTCCCTTTTTTCACCTTATTTTGTGTTGTTGATTAACTATTCTTAAATATTTTTTATTTTGTGATTAGGTTTTTTATTAAAGTAAAATTGTTTTTCGAATTCATTTCTGTTCTTATGGTTCGTTTTACGGTCGTTACGGGCAAAACCGCTCCACAGACATTAGTGCTCCCATGAGACGTTCCGTAGTGGCCTTTGTAACTGAATGCATCCAATGCTTCCAAACATTTCGCCGTTCTTCACTGTCGGTATCCTCAATGGTAACTCTGTAAAAGCTTCCCCGTGACTGAGTTTCTATATTTTGCAGTGTCACCAATGAAAAGACAGTGAGGAAACGCGAAGTGTTTGGAAGCATTGGATGCGATCAGGCCACTAAGAAATATCTCGCCGCGACAACTACCACGGGACTACCATTGTTTGGGGGGAGTGACTTCATTCTAGTAGCCTTAGAACCAACTATAAGAACCAAAACCACCATCAGGTTGAGCCTAGTGGTTCTCATAGCGGGTCCGCCCCCACAGAACCTGTACCGAGAACAACAGGAGCAGGTCAAAGATTCCTAGCTAATGGAGATGCAATGTTAATTAGCTTACGGCATAACAACCCGTAAAAGTATCGTATTGTAAATATTAGCAAAGACAATCCTGTGGAGTAGCCGATAATTTTGTATCTATAACTTCCTGTCTTCACTTTGAAATGAAAGTTATATACAGGGTGTGGCGTGTATAATCTATAAAAATTAAACTACAGCTTCCTAACGATATTTGTAATAGAAAAGTCTTAAACGAAAAAGTTCTATTTTTGCGTTTTTTTTTCGTAAATTAAAGTTCAATTATGGATCAAAATATTTTCTCTGGAACGGTCCTGTCCGTGTGCTATACGATGAGTTACGCGCTGTAGACCAGCCGCGTAAACAAATTGTTGTTGAAAGATAGAAAGATACTTCTCAATTTATGGGTAATTTTTCAATGCAAAAGTACAAATTAAGAAAAATAGGTTTATAAAAAAAAACGATATTTTGTTCAAACTCCATTAAAATATGGAACAAAATGAAATAAGACATACCTACCATTTCTAGAGAAAATGTTGAAATTGATCCTCATTGGCGCGGATACAGGCATGGCACCGACGCACCCAATTTTGGCGAATATTTTCCCAAATTCCAAGTATTTCCCTAATTGTGTCAGCAGCTTCAAGTTTACGGTTTCGCAATTCTTCCACCATAGCAATTTAACTATTGTAAATCAATTACTTCAAGTGACTCCAAAGATAAAAGTCCATTGTAGTTAGATCGGGTGACCAATTCCAGCGTCCAATCTGAGGAAAACATTTCATTCAAAAGAATCGTTAATTCTCGAGTAATGTGTGGAGGAACCCCATCTTGAAGATAAAACTTGTAATGCCACATCGTCCAATAATTCAGGCAACCGGTTCTCCTAAAAGTCATCATAAATATTGATCCATTTAGTCGTCCTTCAAAGAAATAGGGACCCACAAGTACATCGCCTATTATGTCAGCCCAAACATTTACCGAGAACCGATGTTGAAAATGAGCTTCCCTAATCGCGTGAGGATTTTCATCGGCCCATATGTGCATATTATGGAAATTTACTTCATAACGGGTAAATGTCACCTCATCTGTTACACAAACATAAGCAGGAAAGTCTGCACTTGATTGGCATATTGCCGTAAAAACCATCTGCAAAACGCATTCGTTATTCACAATCCGGGGGTAAAATCTGTTGAACTGGTTGCAGATGATAGGGGTGCATCAGCTGGCGCCTTAAGATGCGATGTACGGTACGAGATGAGGTTCCTACTTCCTGTGCAAGTCGTCGAGTACTAATTGTGGGGTCTTCGTCAAGATTTTCCAACACTGCATCTTCAACATTAAGGTTCACTTGCTGACCACGTCCTTCTCCTCGAGGAATAACACTTCCCGTATCTTGCAGCCTCTGAACGCACTGTAGGATTGTATTTGCACATGGGGGGTGACGTTGTGGCCATCGTTCCCGGTACAACGTAGTCGCCGCGAACGCATTTTATTCGGCTGCACCATACACTAACTCCATATCGACGCGTTCGGAAATAGTAAATGCATTGTTTTGTCGATTCATTGTAAAACTAGTTTGTGCACAAACTAAAAAATTAAGTAAGAAATAAGAATCTATATAATAAGACTATCGTGGAATTACAAAATAAAAACTTTTGTCTGGAATTTTTCACTTTTTAACACTGATGGATGATGCCTAATATTTAATAATTATTTCCAATATTTAATAAATATTTCCAAAGTTTTTAGTAAATAACACAGGGTCGGCCTTCATTTTCGTTGAATAAATGAACTTTAATTTACAAAAAAAAACGCGAACCATTTCGTATAAGACTTTTCTATTACAAATATCATCAGGAAGCTGTAGTTTATTTTTTATAGATTATACACGCCACACCCTGTATGTTTCAAAAGGGTATTCTATGTATCATACCATGATATTCATAAAAAAAATACTACAAGTACTAATCAAATTATATTTTCTTTATTTCTTTCTTTCCGTTCTTATTTTCTTTCTGAGAACATAAATGTATACTGTAATTCAACAGTTTTATGATACAATTCAATTGGTCAAACATTTTTCGTTTCATTTGTAAGATATATCCATGGCTCACCTCATTAAATCAAGGGACAGTTGAATAAAAAAATAGTTTTAGCATCTATCGTTAGTAAATATGCAAATTTCAATTATCTATCAACAGCTTCATAGGAAATTCCTTTTAACAACCTATATGTCAGAATTATAACTGAAAAACTAAAATTATAGAAATGTCAGCCTATGCGAAACAAATTGAATAAAAACTTTCGACTTATAAAAAAACACTCAACTGCATGATATCGAGATAATCCAGTGTTTCTCGAAAGTCAAGCCCGAGACATGTTAACTGCTTTTCGGAAAACACTGGAAACCCTCAAAAAAAAACAGAAAATTATGTATCTATTATATTATAAGAAATGTTATCTAGTGACTGTATAAAAACCCACACTTTTAATTTTTAGGTGGTAAGAGTCCATCATACATCGACGAATCGGCAGATATAAAGAAAACTGCCAAACGTATTCTTTGGGGAAAGCTAATAAACAGTGGTCAAACTTGCGTGGCTCCAGATTATATATTGTGCACCAAAACTGTTCAAGAAAAGTTTTTGCAACACGCCAAACTGATAATCACTGAATTTTATGGTCCAGATCCGACGAAAAGTCCTGATTTATGTAAGATAATAACAGAAAGACATTTTAAAAGATTAGTTGATTTTATCAACCCTGAAAACGTGGCTATAGGTGGTAAATTCGACATTTCGGAAAGGGTAATCAGTCCGACAGTTTTGATTAACGTGTCACCAGAAGATCCTGTGATGAAAGAAGAAATATTTGGACCCATTTTGCCTATTATCAACGTAAGAAATGCAGAGGAAGCTATTAATTTTATAAATGAAAGGGAGAAACCACTCGCCCTGTATGTGTTTGCTAAGAATAAGTCTGTACAGAAATTATTTTTAAATCACACCTCGTCTGGTGGGGCAACAGTGAATGACACAGTCACACATTTAATAACGGAAAACTTGCCATTTGGTGGAGTAGGAGAAAGTGGTATGGGTTCATACCATGGCAAAGAAGGATTCGACACATTTTCGCACCAGAAAAGTGTTCTGGTAAAAGATTTTGCTAATCTGACAGAGCTCTCATTGGCCATGCGTTATCCCCCATACAGCAACACGAAGATTAAATTATTGAATTTTGTTTTGAAGAAGAGAAGTGGAATTTCCTTTCGAATTTTGAAAAATTGTTTTATTTTTTCACTGGGAGTTGCATGTGCCTATGGTGTACAGTATATTTGCAGTCAATTGAATGAGAGTGAATAGGTCAATAGCGAGAAATAAAATTATTGGTTGTAGTTTGAGCGTTTAAATAATTACATTGATGTTATGAAGTACAGAATTATGGAAGATATTGATTCACAAAATTGCAGTTGAACACCTGACACTACCCAGAAAAAAAAGTTAATTTAGAAAAGAAGTAACTTTACACAATAGAACAGTTTAATTTGATGTATTCATTTTTATGTTTGTGAGATGCCGAAACATTATTTGTTTTCTTTTTATAGATTTAATGGACATCAACACATAAGAAAAAAGTATGAACATCACTAAACACTCTACACATAACATTCACTTTGTATTTGTCATCAGCATTAATGTGATGAGCAAAATACTTTCGGCAACGTGAGGCAAGAAAGTATTTTACGTACCTGTACTATTTAATTCTTATGTAGGTACTATCTCCAACTTTCAGAACTAATTACTTCTCAAAACTAACAAAAAACAAAATTTTTTGGTAAAACAATTCCTAAGGGATCTAGATTTTTTAAGTTTGGATGTGCGTTTTTCATCAATTGCTCAGTGACCTTGAAGATTTGCGACAGTATAGTTTTTTAGTGTCGCTACTGTCATGTAAAATTTGAACACAAATTGGTGTCAAAATTAGGAAGATTTTGTGGGAATGTGAAAAAAAAAGTTTCTTGACGTTAAATAAAATATTTTTCAATCAAGACTTTTACCTCTAGTGTAAAAGTCCAATAATCTTAACAATATTTATGTTAATTTTACTCTAATTTCTTAAAAATTTGAGTTATACAGGGTCATTAAAATAAACCAAACAGATCAAAGGTATCTGCTACCGTTCCTGAAATATTTTGAAAGAAACTGAAAATAGCAATTTTAGAAAATGCCATCTAGCGTCCTTATTTCGCAACAGAAAGAGATAAAATTTGGTACTGGAGAATAAGAAGATACGAGGAATCAATTTTCGTCGAAAGAAAATTTGTACGGCCACTAGTTTCAGTTATGCAACATTCAATTGTTTTTTTTTCCTATGGGCGCCAAATTGGATCTTGACTGTAACAGATAGAGGATAAAATTACGAACACATCAACACTACTATTTTATTTGAAGAATAACCCACAAAATTAAAGAAATTCAGTAATTTAAAAAAAAAAAAATAAAATCTAGTTGTTCTCGACGTAAAACAAAAATCAATACTCAATAAAACAAAATTGTATATTCTACAAATCCTACATAAATATTTTAAAGTGTCGTCCATTCTCGTGCAGACAAAGCTCAGTTCTCAATCTAATTTTGTCTACAGCGTTTTGAATACTTTGTGGTGAAATAGACCTAAAAGCAACAAAAACTCTTTCGCGTAATTTGAGCCACCCTGTATATCTTACGGTTTCCCAGATGTCAATGGTGAGCCATGAAAAACGGACCAGCTTGTATATGGGGCATCCCATGCCAAATCACTGAGGTCGAAACCCAACCATTTTTAATTTTTTTTATTTTTTGGTATCATTTAGTACCCATTTAGAATAGTTTTCATGAATTTTCTCAATTTTTTTTTCAGCCCCCTCAAGAAGTTGCGAGCCTTTGAATATTTTGGGTAAAAATTTCAAATAACTTAAAAATTAAAAATATTATAAACTTTTTTTCCATTTTGTTCGGCTTGAGATGTATTTTATAAAAAAATATATAAAAAATACATTTTTAGTTATTTGACATATATTATTTTTAAACCTACGGAGGGCTTTTTTGAAAGAGAGTGGCTTTTTTTTCTTCGAAAGATTCGTCAAAAAAACGTCTTTCAATATGCAGATTTATGAGACAGGTTCTAGAGTCGGATCTTTTTTTATTCTATTTTTTCGTATTAAATTTTTTTGTGTTTTAATTTTATTACTGGTAATGTGCATACGCTATTATATCAAATTTTGGCTGATTACTAAAATTACTATATTTTTAAAACTATTTCTATTAATATTATTAAATATCTAAATAATTTTTTACTAAATATTACGATCTTTTCGAAATTAAAAAGTTTGCTTTGCCTAATGCCATAACACTTGTTAGTAGTATAAGTAATTTTAAAAATATGGTATTTTTATTGCGATTTACTTCTATAATAAAATTGGTTTAATAGCGAGGTATACATTATTATACAAAATACTAAAAATGTATTATTTTTATACTTTTTTTTATAAAACTACATATCAAAACGAACAAAGTGAAAAAAAATATTATGTCTTTAGTTTTTGCCAAGTTACAGGTATATCTTCTTGAGGGGTTGAAATAAAAATTTGTATAAATTCAAGAAAGCTACTCTAAATAAGTACTAAATAATACCAAAAAATTAGGAAAATTTAAATAGGTCGGGTCACGACCTTAGTGATTTGGCATGGTTTGACCCATATCTATGAGAAAGTTTAATATATTCATTATAATTATGTCTTACTCAAATAAATTTATTCAGGTTCTAAAAAATCTGCTTAATTTACGTCTGCCAGAAAATACGAAAAATTTTATTTGGAATGATCTATTCGAAATATTCTCTTTAATGTCAAGTATCTATTTTGCTGATTTTGAAATTTTTCAGATCCCCTCTAATTTCTACGTCACTGGTTAGTTTCTGTTTAAATATTAGTTAGGTATGTAATGCCTATGTAGGCATTATAAGAGATACCTACTAGACTGTAGCAAATTTAAAATCTAAATCTTTTATGGTTCTGGATTAATCAAAATTAGTGTTTCAGTCGTTGAAGGATCGTAGAGTCCTTGAAAATCGTTTTAGAGAAAGTCGTTGCTCTAGATTTTCGTATGTTTTGATATGATGAATCAGATCTGAAAGTGCATCATAAAGTTATATTACTGTTATTCCTATATTTAGAGCGACAGGTAAAATATTTTGAAAATTATATTGTAAATAAAATAAATTATTCTCCAAAACATTTGTTTTACTTCACGTTTCAAAGTTAGGTATCTCTTTTCAAGTTTAGTGTTGAACTGGAGAAGGACTATGTTGGTTTGTAATGATTAACGGAACTTGCACATACATATTTTAAGTTTAAATAATTGTTCTATTTCGTTTCAGTGATATTTAAACAATGTTTGGGTCAATGCGAGGATTAACAGTTTATGAATTTATTTTGACAGTCGCTGACTTACCCAAATTTTCCATACTATTGCCAGTGTACAGTCTAAAACTTTCCGATGACATTGTACTTATAAAATAAATATATTCATTTTTTTAGAAATATATTAAAAACAACATAATAATGAACTTGTTACAGGGTTGTATACATAATACAGACATTTTCCCAAATTATCTGCCAATTGTTTTTCTTAACCTACATATCACAAGACATCTAGAACTAAGATAAATTTAATTTACCTTCCATTTAAAAAATAATACCTACCAATGTCATTGTTACTGTTAAAAAAATATTTGACTACTGACAACTTCTAATTACGTAAAAAAATATATCTATTGCATCTTAATTTAATTTTCATTAAATAATAGTATTATATAATAAACAGCTATTGTAACCAACACACCTAACATGAACATAACAACGTGTGAAACATATTTAGTAGGTAGTGAGTGGTTGTACCTAGAAACAAAGGAAGAAATTAGTCATTTGTTAACATTACAGTTAGAGAGAGGTATTAAATATTACAAGGAAAAAGCCAATATCTCATATAGGTAAATGACTTATACTAATCTTACCTAAATCGAGCTTTCAACACATTCAACTTCATATTCGTGTAAGGAGGATATCTAACAGACTCTATTTTTTCTGGTAGAAAAAAGAAACCCTTCGATAGCACCGACTTCTTGTGGACGAAGGTGTCAAATGTTTTCTTCCCATGATAAGCTCCAATCCCTAAAAGCACACATATTTTTAAATGATAACTTAAGTACCAAAACATAATCCAACATTGCATTTCAAAGATATACTCTTTTTTATACAGAACGTATTAGAATATCAAGACATAAGCTTTCGTGAAGTCTAGTTCAAATCAGAATATCATCACCCAATTACCCAGGAGAATAATGTATAGTAATATTTATTTCGAAAAATAACTGTTGAGTTGGCACCTATCTGAAGCAATTGGTTTCCTTTCTTTCACCATTACTTTCCAACGTTTTGGATCCAGACTATAAATTCAGATTGAGCATTTGTTTGCAGAAAAAATTAATCAGATTTATGTTCTCTTTGGTCTTTTTAACTCATGTACCTAATTAAAGATTTAAAGAAAACCAAATATTTTACTCTTTGTATATTTTTAGGAAGCAGCATTATATCATCAAAAATTTCGCATTCTAGAAATGGTTTACATAGAAACTACCTAAATATGGCTTTTTCAATGAAAAGAAAATGAAAGTTGCATGTATTTAGAAAACACTAAACTCGCTTCTCTCTGTAAACTGTTTGTATAATGTAAAAGAATTATGTGAAATAACATGTGTAATTTTAATCTACTCTACATTGCTAGCTTAAGTAAATTGTATTCCTTGCTTGTTTAACCGTTATTTGCAACGAACTCAGAAAGGATAGACAGTGCATTGTCTTGGTTTGTTTTGTTCTACTGTAAATATTTTGAGAACTCAGCCTCCTATTGGCTAAAGACATGGGGTAAGGTGCGCGCGCAGTACTTGCCCTATGCTAGATGTTTATTATTGTTTACGACTATCGGCCGCCATTAATTCTTTGCGTGCTTACTGAGTTTAACGTTGTGTTTACCGTGGATTATTAGTTTCTTTGGCAGAATTTATAGTTTTTGTGAATAGACAATGGGAAAATATTGTGTTATATGTAGATTTCGCTTTAAAAGTGGAGGCAATTGCTCTTTTCACAGGTAGGTAGATTTACCATGGGCGTAACAGATAACAGACGGTAGTTTAAAACAAAATTTGAAATAGAAAATTTCCAGTGCAATAATATTGAAAATATAAAATATTTTTTTAAAACGTGAATTGTGTGTTACGGTTAAATAAAAAGTAACATGAATTGCAAAGGCAACATTATTTAAAAGGAAATATACCTAGGTAATTTGATTTTAGGATTCCTTCGAATGTTGAATGCCGAGACGTTTGGCTCTCTCGCATTTTGAGCTGCATAGCAAAGGAAAATAGTCCTAAAGATAGTGTTGTATGTTCAGATCACTTCACATCAAGTGATTTCTTAATAAGACCTGGTGGCCGAGTTTATCTTAAGGACACAGCAGTTCCTGAGTTCCCAAGTTCGTTTAGTCAAAATACAGGACCCCTATTAAAATTGTATAAACAATTTTTTGCGCATAATTCAGGATCACTTTGTAGATCCTGTGTAATAACCCCATTTACTATTTCTCTTTCATTTATCACTTAATTGTCCTACTTGATATGCATATTATTGTATACAAGTATAGTATAGCTACCATACTATATGTAACTGTAACTGTAACTTTGTGATTCCTATTTGAACTGGTAAAAACTTTTATTAATTAGTATTATTTAACATATCGATGTATATTGTTACTGAGAAAATAAAGATTGTTGTAACTAGTATTACTTTTTTTCGGCAGTAAGTGCCGTTATGGAGTAAAACAAACATGGTTCTATTTATTTAAAAAAGAAGTCATTAACATTATTTTAAAACCAAATTAGGTGTGAAATCGTAACTACATATATAAATTAGACAAATATTAAAATGTATCACCCTTTTTAACACACACGCCACTGGTTAAGAGTTCCCTAGTAAACAAAGAACTATCTTCATCCTTATTTAATAGCAGGATGTCTCAAGTTGTGGAAAATCAAAACAATTCCATTGCAATGCATAGGAATAGGAATGACTTGTCTAGTCATTCTGAGGTCTTTGGTTATTTGTATTTACTATGTTCTATGTGTATCTATTTATCTTTTTTCTATTTGTAATCGTTTAATTAGTTCTATCAGTTCTAATCTACTTAACTCTCTGTTCCCAGGGTTATGTGGGTTATCCTGCTTGTGGTTTGGTAGGAGTGGTTTCTAGGGGTTAGGTGAAATAGGGAGTAGGTGGGTTAGCATGGTGGTGTGGAATTTAATTATTTCAAGAAAAATAAGCGACTATGCTCGCTGTTCCCAGGGTCTACTTGTGGTTTGGTAGAGGTTGTTTCTAGGGGTTAGGTGGGTTTATCTTGGAACCCATGGAGTTTTTGACTTTGCGCCCATTTAGACATTTGTTCAGGACGCCGAGATACGTAACATAAAAAAAATTAGTTATTTTAAGCGGGAGCCATTTCCCATAAGGTTTGTGAGGGGTTCTTTGAATTTTTTAATCGTGGTTGGCCTAGAAAAATAAATTTTGCTTTCCAGTGATACACAGGATATTATAGATTCTATATTTTAGTTAACCATAAATTAAATAGAAAAATAGAAATAATGTCTTTCTAGATTATAGCCAACTATGGTTCTCATTGAAACGAATATAAATTTGCTTCATAGCTACGTAAGCCTGAACTTCACTAAAAAAAATTGCCAATAAATAGATAGAATAGAATACTACCTTGAAAATATATGTCCTTTGTTACTACGTTACTAATTCTAATCTATTTAGCATCGAGGATATCCGAAGTCGCGGAAAATATCATGAAAATTAATATCGAACCTAATTTGAAAACAAAGATACCAAACAATTTAATTTGTCTTGAAAATTTTTTTCTCCTGTAATTTCTGAGGAATCATGAAATCCCGTTGAAATTATCTTACTCTAGATTTAAACGTTTTCATCTTACGATAATTTAAAATGTGTTTTGGCTAATCTAAGACCCTATTAATAATAATATTACGAACCTGAATTCCCAACACCACCGAATGGTAGACCATCAGCAACCACCTGTAGTACAGTATCATTAATTGCAACGCTTCCGCTAGAGGTCCTTTCCAAAAAAGCGTCCTTGACACTCTGATCGTTCGTAAACACATAGAGAGCCAATGGTTTTTCCCTGTCATTTATAAAATCTATAGCTTCATCCATATTTCTGATATTTACTATTGGTAATATGGGACCAAATATTTCTTCCTGCATTACTGGATCCATAGGACTGACCTCCACCAATACTGTTGGTTCGATAAATAAATTGTGCGGATCGCTTTGGCCTCCAATTGCAGGTTTCTGGTTTCGCAGTAGGTCCACCAGTCTATTAAAATGTTTCAGGGAGGCTATTCTTCCATAGTCAGTTGAGGACTTAACTTTATCTAAAAATGCATAATGGAATATTGAGAATATTTTAATCGAATACATGAAATAGTTGTATTACTAAAGATGAAATGTCTAGTGTATATAAGTTGTTTCTAAATATGTTTAGTGTTATTTCTTGTCGATATACCCATGAGTGTCATGAACTTTTGTATTTTACTTTAATATTTACATAAAACGTAGAGCCCACATAAAATTTCAAACATTTAAATGAAACATCCTGCCATGACACAATTTGCGTAGCGATAAAGGTAATTACGTACAAATTGTTTCTTACAACTGATGCATATAAATAAAAGTACAAGGTAGACAGCCTTCAATATTGTAAATGCAGAGGACTGTTTTCAAATACATTTGTTGCTTTCATTTTACAGTGTGAAATTGATTGTTTCTGTATACATACCCATAAAATGGTAAATATCAATTTCCACATTTACAGGATATCCTAGAAATAAGTGTCAAAATTTTATCCATGTATTTAACTTATCAATAGCAAAAACTTGTTTTTTTCAAACTAATTTTGGAACATGTTTCTGAAACACCCTGTATAAGTGACGGAAAGGATTTCGTCATGGATTAGTCCTCCCGAAAGTGCCATTTTTTACCCTGTTAAGAGACGAAAACGAAAGTTGCAAATTTATTACTTTCTCAATTAAAACAGCGATTAATTAAATTCAACGGAACATGTTTTACACACACCTAAAAATGTTTATGAAAGTAAAACACATTTTACTTGATAAATCTCACTTATAACACGAAATTTTGAACTGATTGAACAACTGGAGAAAAATCAAAATTTGATGGATTTATAGTATAGTTGACTCAGATATTATATAATAATAATAATAATAATAATAGTTTATTTTCCATTTTGACAATTGTATAGGAATAGTCAATTAAAAGAGATTAACTGTATTCAGAGAGCAAACATACACGCATTAAAAATATACTGTAATATGTATATACATAAAAATAAAAACAATCAAACTTATTTATAAAGTAGGTTTCTACATAATAAAATATTAACAGATCAGAACATTTCAGACATTGATGCACATAGACCCATAAAATTACATGTACTCTGACAGTGAATAAAAAGACTTATCTATCAGATAAATTTTTAATTTCTTTTTGAACATTATAATATTTTGTAGCGATTTTAAATGATCTGGAAGACGATATACAGGATGTCCGTTAAAGAATGGTCCAAACTTTACCACTAGATCCTACGACAAAAAATAAAAGGGAAAAGGCGTATACAATGTTGCTCATAAACGCTTAGTTTTCGAGATACAGGGTGTTGAAGTGGAAAAAATAAAAACGATTTTCAGCTTTATCTCGGAGACTTTAAGAAATTTTTTTCTAATTTGATATGAGTTTTAACGGGGACCTACATCATTTGTTGCGATTTCACGTCAATACAAAAAACCAATGGCGTGCAATCTATATTTTCGGGACCCTTTCCTAAAAAATAAATGTTACGCCACTGCGTAAAGCAGAAATGCATAACATTTTTCAAATTTTCAATGATTTTTCAACATAAAAGGTACCTACCTATACTCGTTGAATATCGCTGAGAGGTACCGTTTTTGAAAAAACTGCGTTTAAAGTCGGCAAAGATGTGCAATTCGTAGAAACTAACTTCATTAACTTGTGTTATAGAAACATAATTATTTGATAAGTAAATAGCATTAACGAACATTAAAATATTTTAATATTTTACAATATACCTTTTAAGTATGAAATTTCAAGTATTACAGCTGTAAAACATATCAAACAATTAAGAAAACTAAATTAAAAATATAAACAACATTTTTTGTGTTACATAAATAATTAATTCATAAAATATACAGAATTTTTCATCTTTTGTGGCAAAATATGCTACTATTACAATATTTTGTATAACCAAACAATCTGAAAAAGACGATAAACTGAGAAAACTTCCATATTTACTGCAGGCTTGAAAAAATATAACAATTTACATCCAAAAATATATATATTTTTTTAAAAAGAAAGATGATGTTTTTCCTATTTAAACGGCCTACCATACACAATTTTTTTCCTTTAATTAAAAATATGTCTATAAATTGTGATCGTGACATTTACTACCGTCCCAGAAACTATTTTAGTAAACCAGACACAATAACAGTTAAAAGTATATATACAGGGTAATTCACTAGTATTTTTGCAAATTTTTTGTCAATCAAAGATTGATATAGTTTGCAGAATTATTATCTTTATTATATTTGCTATCCATTTCAAAATTTTGTAACAGAGATAGCGAATCAGCTTGTTATAAGGTCGAATCAGTATATAGGTTCTGATATTTTGACATTGTTTAATAGGCTCGTTATTAAATCCTTGTGTCATTTATTCATAATATTTTGTTCCCATTCCTATAATTGTATAAGTACAATTTGTTAAACATTTGTTAATAATTAAATAAAATAAATATACTTAAAAGTATTTTACAAATACCTACTATTTCGAATATTATTTTGAGAATATCTAATATTATGTTAAGTATGGCAAGCAAATTTAAGGTTATATAAACAATTAATTAAAAGAATTATTGTTGGGTACTGTGTAATTAAAGTTTTATTACATAAAATATTGTAATTCTTATATTTTTGAAGTTAGTTCCTAGTATACTTATAAATACGTATTCGTTATACTTGAGAATGATAAATAATCTGCCAATAAAATAGAAAATATTAATTAATCATTTACCACATCATTTAGTAGGTAGTCATTCCATTATTAAATTAAACAAATAAAAAAGAACGATAGATGGATTATGACTTGCAAAATTCCAGCCATTTTTTAATAATAATGATGTGTACTTTCTCTAGGGTTCTTGAGTACCTAAGTATTTCTAGTACCATATTTAATAAAACTTATTGAAGATAATATACGAGGTCAGTTCAGAAAATATATATTTTTTAATTACACGTTAATGGAGACATTTAGTGACATGCGTGTAGAATTTTGTTGCGCATAACTGTGTAACCACATCTTCTTGGATTGTTCATATCTCATTTAATTTTCGTTATATTGTTACATATTTGAGTGCAATGTGTTTAAATGTGTTTAGTTTAGTAACGATTTTGAAACATTTCAACTTTTGATATACAGGGTGTTAGATTTGACTGCTTTAATTTTAACAGACGATAAAATACATTGAAATAAACAAAAGAAATCTTATATGACATCAGTCTTAAACTCAATCATTCGTTTAATTAAGGAATATTGACATAACTGCGTGCATATAATGCTATAAAATACAATGTTTACGACTTTTTTGAACTTTATGCTTAAATCTAAAAAATAATTAGCGATGTAATAAATTTAAAATTCGATAAAATTCATATCGAGCAATGTGACAACGGCGCGGCGATTAACACGAGGTACTAACCTGTCCAGCAATACGCAATTCAGTTGGTGTCGGTATCTGGAATTGGACCGTGGAGTGTTGTTTGCAATACCCCTATTTCATTTTCTTGAGGTGTTTTCCAGCGAGTGCGCGATAATTGGATTCGAAGGTATCGTGCGTGCATCGAAAATGATGGTGGACAATATGTTGTAGTTTGTTTTGTACTTGTGCGTTTAAAAATTAATGAATTTTGCTTTTTGATAAGTCCCTAAATTATTTTTAATACATATGATTATTTGGACGACGTGAATCTTTGGGTACTCTTATTACATATTTTTCAAATTCATAATTTGATTAAAAGTTAAGTTCCTGCTTTAAGAGATTCACATTTACTAAAATTCGAGCTAAAATTTAAGCGCAAAACTATCTTTGTACTACAAAATCGACCCATTTTATTTTATTTATTTAAAAACTGCAAAACAACTGTCTTCAAATTTACTAAATATTTCACAATAATAGTTGTTTACATTTTTTCCGTAGAACAAGTCTGCCACGTGGACACGTGGTGTGCATCAGCTGTGTAGCGCTGTTGTCACGTTGTGATGAAACTCTCCAAATCGCTGTATTTTGAAAACTGTTAATAACGCCCCTGTAATATACAACTTTTTTGTTCATTTATAATTACTCTATCTCATGCTGAAGTTATGGCAATCATACTTCTTACACCCTGTAGATTAAAAATCTATTTCGACATACATTTTTTTTATCTCAAATAGTATTAAAGATACCTAATTATCCTTAATATTATTTAACACCAAAAATGGGGCGCATTGTATGGTCATTTAGTTCCATCATCTTCAATATTAAAAGTTGATCCTATAATTAAATAAATTTTGCTAAAATTTAAACTACGTTTTAATACAGACCCTTCATAAATGGTTACAAGCCACGTGACCAGTAATTTTGTTTAAAACGTTAATTTTATTTCCTTCATGTTGGCATCAAAACACAACATTATGTTTCACTGGCTGTGATTGGTGTAATTTTTCACGAGATTCTATTCAACCAATCAGCGATCGTAAAAGTTTGTTACTGTTCATTGTAAACGAATCATTAATATTAGTGAAACCAAGATTTAGCCATTTTTCGTTACCAGTACCAGTCGTGCAATTTTGGGTTGCCTAAGCTTGGGGGTCAAGTGGCTTGTAAACATTTATGAAGGCTCTGTATAACAAACTGATTCAATACTTACCATCGTAAAATGCCTGCAAAGCTTTCGCTGCGTGAAGAACAAATTTTTCCTGCACTTTCTTCGTACACAAAATATAATCAGGAGCAATGCATATTTGTCCAGCGTTTTGTGTTTTGCCCCACATGATTCTTTTAGCTGTCAACTCCATGTCAGCCGTGCTGTCGATATAAACCGGGCTCTTACCCCCCATTTCAAGGGTAGTGGGTGTGAGGTACTTGCTTGCAGCTTGGTATACGGTCTTTCCCACTTTTGGAGATCCGGTGAAAAATATATAGTCGAATCTTTGTTGAAGAAGTTCGGTTGTATCTTCCGGTCCTCCCAGCACTACTGGATAGCATTGTGAATCGATGTATTTAGGTAAAAGGGTGGCAAATACTTGGGCAGTTGCAGAGGCGATTTCTGATGGTTTGATAACGACACAGTTGCCTGCAGCTATAGCACCTGAAATTATGTCATACGTAAGATGTTTATTAAATGAAATAAATACATATTATAGAAATTATGGTATTGGTATACAGGGTGTTGCATCAAGAGAGGGACATGGCTTAATGGGAGATAGAGTATATCTAGGGTAACTAGGATCGCCTACAGAAATAGCTTCTTGGTCATTCTTTATTGAGATACAGGGTGATTTATGGTTTTTGGTGAAAACTGCTTTATGTCATAACTTTGGTAGGGAATGGAATAATGGGTTCATATTTGGTAGGGTTAATGCACTCACGATACTTCATGTATGCATGTATGACAGCAAAAAATCCAGGTCCGGACTGCAAAAATTGTAAATTTTTTATACAAGTCTAGAAAACAACCCTCTGTATGTATTTTTTTGAAATTCCGATACGATATTCGGAAAGAGCATAAAAAAGTGATGTTAAAGACGCGTTTCTTTTTTTGTTACATTTTGGTGGTTATTTAAATAAGCTATTGAATATACGAGACTACGGCTTCTAAAACTAAATTACGTAAAGGACACATGATAAAAATTGTTTTGCAATTAAAATTAGCGAAGGCTTAATTGAGGGTAGATGTTATAAATTAGAATGCATATTTTAAACCTCATTTTCTTTAAAAAAATATGTATTCTAGGTCCGGACTGCAAAATTTTTAATTTTTTTTGTAACTCTAGAAAACATCGCCCCCGTATGTATTTTTTTGGTATTCCCATACGATTATCGAAAAGAACATAGAAAGTAATCTCAGCGACATGTCTTTTTTTCTTGTTACACTTTGATGATTACTTAAATACTCTATTCAATGTACGATAACAAGGCTGTTAAAATGAAATTACGAGAAAGTAAGAAACACATGACATGAGTATGTAAAAGATACATGATAAAACTAGTAGTTTATGTCTTTCAGTAAAAAGGATTTTTAAAAAATAGAAATAAAAAAGCAAATGGGAACAAAGACTATTTAATAACAAATAACAATAAAACATAAAGAAAATAATAGGTGTCTAAAAATGTACTTTACAATGGCAAATTAATTTTATAACAAATTTTCAAAGTGGTCTCCCTCAACTTCGATACATTTTCTTACTCGTTTTCCCAAGTTTCCAATTGCTCGACGTATCGATGACAATCGAAATCGACGGATTATAATTTATTTTTTGTCATGTGTTTTTATATTTAAATAATCATCAAAGTCTAACAAGAAAAAGAGACATGTCGCTGAGACACTGACACTTTTTTATGTTCTTTTCGATAATCGTATGGGAATACCAAAAAAATACATACGGGGCGATGTTTTCTAGACAGAAAAAATAAAAAATTTTGCAGTCCGGACCTGGAATACATATTATTTAAAGAAAATGAGGTTTAAAATATGCATGCTTATTTATAACATCTACCCTCAATTAAGCCTTCGCTAATTTTAGTTGCAAAACCATTTTTATCATGTGTCATTTACGTAATTTAGTTTTAGAATCCGTAGTCTCGTATATTCAATAGCTTATTTAAATAACCACCAAAGTGTAACAAAAAAAAGAAACGCGTCTCTCAGATCACTTTTTTATGCTCTTTCCGAATATCGTATCGGAATTTCAAAAAAATACATACAGACTGTTGTTTTCTAGACTTCCACACACTTGCTGTCATACATACATACATGAAGTATCTTGAGTGCATTAACCCTACCAAATACGAACCCATTATTCCATTCCCTACCAAAGTTATGACATAAAGCAGTTTTGACTAAAAATCATAAATCACCCGGTATCTCAGTAAAGAATGGTCAAGAAGCTATTTCTATAGGCAATCCTAGTGACCTTAAATATCCTCTATCTCCCATTAAGCCATGTCCCTCTCGTAATGCAACACCCTGTATATTATTGATTTTTATTATAACGATAGTTATTTAAAGAAAAATTGTATAATGTCATTCTGTAGTATATCTACGGCTGGGTTAGACACTTCGAAATTTTATTATTGCAGGTGAAGTGAGAGAGAAAAATATGGTTGAAACTTTTAGAACATTTCTTGATGGATTTTTTATACCTGGCATACTTTTTGTGGTTTAGACGGTCAACCGTACTTGCAGATGCCGAAGAAAATATTTTAAAGTTGAAATTGAAAAGGCATGACTGCAAGTCATCGGCGGTGGTAGAATCTTATGTAGAAGAGTATTAATATACTGTCTACTGTGTCGAGAAGAGGCTATAAAAAGTTTGTTAATTGTAAAGTAGATGTGCACATTGTTAAGAATTGAATAATGAGTAAAATACTGATGTTCTTACGGATATACGTTTTAGCTGAAACTGTGCAATAAAAGCGAGCAAAAAAATGATTGGACATTTTTCAAAGTAAAAATTTCAAAATAGGTAGTACCTATCTATTGCTTTTGTGCCCATCGGTAGAATAATGTAACCATGATTTTTACTAATTTGTCCTTACATATGGATAAGTTGTACTAAAAATTATGAAAATTTATTTAATTCTGAGGAAAAAATGTATACATTAGTTGAAAATTTTCGAGACCAGAGCGATTTTTTTTTTTCAGTGTATATCAGGTAACAATATTATTTTGTTAGGTGAATAATAAAAAGCAATTAATTTGGAAGCAAATGGACTCTGAAATTTATAATTAAATCGAAAGAAAAAAAATATATAAAACAACATTGAAACAAAATAAGTTGATAACGTTTTACTGCAAATGTCACCTTCTATACAGGGTGCCTCATCACGAACTCCATCGGTGAAAATCTTGGAAACCACTAGAAGGATTTTTTTGATTGTCATGGCCAACCTAAATTATGTGAAACAAATGGAAACACTAGAAAAAGAGAAATGTTTATTCGTAAATAAAATGAAAACGACTGGGTTTAGGTATAGGGAACTTTAACAAAGTTACACTCAATTATTTTTCGCATCTCCGTTCTTCTATGATTCATGTTGGTAGGTCTCACTTATACATGACGCGCGCACAGGTTTAAAGGAAAAAAGTGTTTCGTAACAGTCCGTTACTACTTATTGATAGCCAGCCAGTTCAATTATTTGTGCCGCACGTGCAGGTCCTATTTGTTTTGTGTATCATTGTGCCTTGTGTAGTGTATTTATGCAAAAGAAAAGAATTTCCATGAATTCGAGATAAATCACACGTAAGGGAAATATTATATTAATGATCCATTTCAGATGCAAAGGTATTTCTTTAAAATTTTTCTGTTAGCCGCCCTTGACTTGATAATACTAGCTCGTATACTATGATACACGCAGAGCAGAATATTGTAGTTGTTTTTAAATTATTTTGACCGCGAACATTTGTTTGCAGAATATACAGTCGTTTTAATCCTCTTAGTAGGGCGTGGCCGCTTTGTTTTTTTTGCCCGTATTCCATGTGACATGTAGAGAGTGGTTTTCACTCCGCTTAAATGGAAAGACTAGCTAGCCATATCGTAGTTGTTTTAACTACCTTGCCCGCAAACTTTTTGTTTGCCAAATATTTGGGGCAGAACGGTCGTTTTGACCGTTTTAATAGGGCGTAGCCGCTTGGTTTTTTTGCCCGCATTCCATATGACATGTAGAGAGTGGTTTTCACTCCGCTTAAATGGAAAGTCTAGCTAGCCATATTGTAGTTGTTTTAACTACCCTGCCCGCAAACATTTTTATTTGCCAAATATTTGGGGCAGTACGGTCGTTTTGACCGTCTTAATAGGGCGTAACCGCTTGTTTTTTTTGTCCGCATTCCATGTGACATGTCGAGAGTGGTTTTCACTCCCTTGAATGGAAAGTCTAGTCTAGTCTTATATCGTAGTTGTTTTAACAAATTTGCCCGCAAACTTTTTGTTTGCCAAATATTTGTGGCAGTATACGGTCGTTTTGACTGTATTAAAAGGGCTTAGCAGTTTTTGGTGTTTTGACCACGGACAAATTGTTTGCAGAATATTTTGGGGCACTATGTGATTGCTTTAATTCGACTAAATATGGTCTAGTCGTATTGACCTTTTGTCTGCATTTCATGAAACATGTAAAGTGTGGATTTCACTCTTTTTACATGCAAAGTCTATCTATCTATCTCTAAGCTTTTAGTAGTTATTTTAACCATGTCACCCATAACTTGTTTTAGACATTTGGGTGTAATTCTACTGCTATTTTTACCCTCTGCATGCCATGGTATACACGCAAAGTGGATTTTTCGTTGTAAAGGCTTCCTATTATAATTTTGCCTTGTTTACATAGCAAAATTTAAATAATCTGCTTAAAGCTACATATTTTCAGAAGCACTGATTGTACTATGTTCTTAAAAAAATAAATAAATAATTGTACTTATGTACAAATATAATGTAATTTTTTTTTTAGAGATAGATCGGAGTTATGTTAACCCCTTATTTACTCTTACGGGGTCTTACTCAAAATAGTGAGTTAGTATATACTAATACTCACCACTCCCTTTTAATTCTAACAAAAATTAGAAATTTACAACTTTTTACAGATGAGAGTGAATTAGGTGCTCAACAAATTAATGTCGTATTTAGTACGAGTTCCTGGAGATAGTTACGTCATATTAAACAGTGTAAAAGGCGAGTAATAAAATTAAGAGAGTATATCAAAAAACAAATGGGGAGGGGCGAACATTGTGAGCAGTATGGATAAGAAGAGCGATGTGAAAAAGAGTTTACTGGTAAAAGGAGCGTTTGATGTAGATAAAACAAAATTATTGAAAATAGAGTACATGAAATCTAAAAATGAGTGCATTGTTTTGTCACTCAGAGGTACTATTCTACAATGAAACATAATGTGAATTATACAAGCAGTTTTTCTAATAACACCTTATATTTTATTTGATTATAATAATCTATGTAGATGTAGGTGTGTACATACATATACGTATGTGTATATAAACAAAAAAAAAACATTCGATTACTAGGTATGGCACTATCATCATACATGAGCATCAGAGTGACATGTTATTATAGAAAATTTAATTGAGCAACTCTCTGTCTCTCT